CGCACGCACGCGGCACGCGCACGCACGCGGCACGTGCATACATACTAGCGTCTGCGCGATGCTCCAGCTGCTCCTGCGCATGCGTGGAAAGCGCAAAATTCAAAAAAACTGGGTAAGGAGCGGGCGCGGGTGTGCGGGCGTGCGCGGGCGCGGGGGGGGGGCTTCGCCGTTCCCGGAAGTTACTTACTTCCGGGTTCGGCGACCAACCGGATCGCAGGGACCGGTGCGAACCGGTTGAAACCCAGCCCTGCCGCCCACTCTTCGATCTCCCTGTCCATGTTAGACCACCACACGTAACTCCTAGCCAAAGACTTCACCCTGACAATTCCAGGATGCCCTACATGTAAAGCCTCTAATACTGCAATGCACAGTTTGGGTGGAACAACTACCTGGTCCCCCCACAGTAAACAGCCATTAACAATCAATAACTCATTGTGTTTGGCAAAATACAATTTGAAATCAGCCCCAACAGGCCCTTGGGCCACTTCCTCCACATCCAGTTCAAAATTTGTTTGATGGTGGAGTCCTTTGCAGAGTGATGGGCAACATCACTGGACGAGACAGGCCCAGTCTCAAGGCAGTCAGTGAGGAGGACTGGCTTCTTGGCGGTAGGGTCAGCAAGAAGTTCAGGAAGTGGGCAGTGGCTTAAAGTGTCAGCGTGCCCCAAAGTGGAGCCTGGTCAGTAAATGAGGCAGTAGGAGTAGGCAGCTAGGAAGATGGTCCATCTGGTCATCTGTGGTGATAATGACACTGGGGTAGGTCGGTCCCCAGCCAGTAAGCCCAACAATGGCTTGTGGTCAGTAACCAGTTCGAAGCCCCGGCCATATAGGTATTTGTGGAATTTCTTTACTCCGGCCACTGCAGCCAAAGTCACATGGTCCATCTGGCTGTAGTTGCGCTCTGTGGCAGACAAGGTCCTGGAGTAAAATGCAATAGGGGCTTCGGTTCCGTTGGGCATGCGGTTGCTGAGGACGGCGCTGACGCCGAACAGGGAAGCATCACAGGTCAGCATCAACGGCAGGGTCTGGTTGTATTGGACTAGGAAGGAGTCTGCCGACAGGAGACGTTTTACTGCGGCAAAAGCGGCAGCCTCGGTTCTGCCCCAGGACCACTTCGCATTCTTAGCCAGGAGACTGTGTAAGGGCTCAGTAATGGTGGCTTTCTATTTAAGAAAGATGCTGTAGAAATTAAGGAGCCCGAGGAACGCCTGCAGCTCGGTTTGATTGCGAGGTGTGGGGTGTCCTGAATAGCTTTGATTTTTTGTGAGGTCGGGTGACTCCCAGAGCTGTTGATTAGGTACCCTAAGAATTCAACCCTTGGCACATTAATTTGGCATTTCTCTTTTTTGAGATGGAGGCCTTTGTCTCTAATTCAAGCCAAAACCGTTCGTACACGTTTCCTTGGCCCACGATGGGGACCCGGTTGCCCTGGTAGTCTCGTAGGCGGATGCCAGGGGTGTGAAGGTGCTGCTACTTTAGGCTAGGTTGAGTCTGACAGCAGCCCTTTTATAGGGAGCTGTCAGACCCTTTGACCAATAGGATTAAACCTCTGTTCCCGCCGGAACAGAGGACCTTGGTGGAAACCATTGTAGTTAGAATAAATATCTAACAAATCTCACACTGCATATATTATACCAAAGTGCCATTATATTGCTGAATTTGTGTTTATACCTTGCTGATTAGATATTAGGTTCCATTGTACCCCAGGAATGACAGCAAGACTGATTTCTTCTCTGGATTCAGACCACCTATTGGGAATTAAACTCAAAGACCTTTTGCACATTAGATAACTGTACATAGTGTATTAGTTATAGAAGCTGTCCACATCCTGGCATGCAGCAGTTACAGGAAGGGATCAAAAGAACGTGTCACTCAGGCCTCTTCAGTCTACTTTCTCTTAAGCTGCCAGAGCCGATTGAGAAGGGACAATGGACTGAATATGCCTTTCTCTGGTGAACTCTGCCTCCTAAGATGTGTAAAGATTTTACATTTTCAGTGCAACTTTTTATACTTTATGATCCATGTGCAGGAGATTCTGCATAAGATTAAAGAACTCTTAATTTCAGGGCTACTGGATTTGGCTACATCATACTGTGAAAACCGATTGAAAAAGCTGTGCCAGCATCTCATCAAAAGAGGAATCACAGTGGAGAATGCTTTCTCGCTGCTCACTGCAGCAGTGCGCTATGATGCAGAGGTAAATCAGCTGTCCCCTTTAGTCTGCCCTCTCTAGTGCACGTTGGGGAATTGCTAGGGAAAGAGTGAAGCAGCCGGGCACAACATGACTTTAAGAGGGGAGGTGGAAGTCAGACAGTGGTGTGTGTGCGTATGCATATACACTGGATGAATACTGGTGGGAAATTGGAGTACTGTCCTGGGAGTGTTTGAGTGATATGTCTTGGGATGAGCTATGTGAAGACACAGTTGGAGAGCCATCTTGGGTGATAGAAATGAGCAACAAAATGTTTTAGAATGACAAAGATGTGTTTGTTGGCAATTTATATCTTCATCAGTTTGCATTCTGTGAATTTCCAGGTGATATGAAGCCAGATACATGATTTAGCATTTGAGACTCATACTCAACTTAGGGTCTGATCAGATTACTAGAGCTTTCTGACCAGTTGGACCAGTAAATGGGTTTCAAATTTTTTTAGAACCTTTTCTGTAGGTGTGACCTGCTTTGTGGGAGTGGCTTGCCAGCCATGTGACTGTGTGGGCGTGACCAACTTGTAAAATGTGGTGAAAATCACTTAACAACGCTCTTTCTTTG